CTATGTTTCTCACTGAAAATCCTCGTCCCCCGGCGGCACCTTTTTTTTGAGTTTTCTTCCTTTTCAACGCCGCTTTTCGGGGATTTCGGATTTTCTTTGATTTTTTTCGCAATTATATTTGAAAGATAGATATATTTTACCACATTTTAATGCGATAAAAATTTCTGGTCGGAGTCCCCCTTTAAAGAATTGCTTATCAAGGATTAAAAAGCATAAATAGCAAAATCAAAAAAAACCTTTTCGAAATTTCAGATTCAAATTTTATTTCTGAAAATGAAGAAATTGATTTCAAAAGGCAACACTTCATTTTCAGATTTTCAGCTTCATAAACTAAATCGTTGTCATTTGGGCTCACTATCAGAAAAAAAACAAGGAACAGACGAGAGAAAACTGAAAAAAGAGAAAAAATTCGGTAATTTGATATTGTCGCCGTCCCTTTATTCTCCAAGTGGTTGTGGTTCTTTTTTTTGGAGGATTTTTTCTCGTTTCCTTGAATTCAGAAAACATTCAAAAATCCAGAAAAATCGGATTCTGATAGAAGAGAAATAAGTGAAATATTCAAGTTTTTTTGTATTTCAAAAGTTTAATGACAGGTTTTGTTTATTCTCATTGAAGCATAAATTCACTTTTCTGGAACAACAGATCGACGATAATTCCAAAAAGTTCCAGAATTATAGGAATGAAATTCCGCTAACTCGAGTGGAAAAGGAAAATTCTGAAACTTTGAAAAAAATTGGAATTCTCTGAAATTCTTGAAAAATCGACAATTTCCTTAAGAGCTCTCCGAAAATCTGAAAAGTTGAAAGTTGACGAAATTCCCCAAATCGGAATTACCGTAAAACCTGTATTAGAAGGGCCCCTTTAATAGAAGAACCCTCTAATAGAAGGGCCCTTCGAAAGGGGCTCGGAAAAATAGAAGGGCCCCCTGTAATAGAAGAGCTCCCGTAATAGAAGGGCCCTCTGTGGAAAAGGAACCCCCTTCAAAATGCGTTTTGAAATCACAAAATTTCGGTGCTTTTTCAGTGGAAAATATTCCGGGAACTCCACAATTATATAGAAATTTGGTGAAACTCTATTTTATGAAAATCTTGTTAAATTGGTGAAATTGACAGATTTTCATAAACTTTGAACGAAACTTCGTCGACGTTATCGATTCAAAATTTCGGAAAAAAACTGGTTGGAAAAATAGAAGGTCCACATGTATTTGAAGGGCATCTGTAATAGAAGTGCCCTCCGGAGGTACCTTGGAACAATAGAAGGGCCGGCCCTTATAATACAGGTTTTACAGTATCCGAAATTCCGAAAGTGGAACATTTTCGAAACTCCTTTTGAACTTTACATAATTTCGGAGATATCGAAATTTTCCAAATGTTCCAAAATCCTGAAAGATATGAATTTTCCGAACTTCTAAGAGCGGTAATTTTCCGTTAGAATTGGCTATTTTCCCCCTGAAAGGTTAGGAGTTCAATTGAATAGTTTTTTTTTAGTAAAACTGTTTTTTGATCTTTCCATAAATTCTGACAATGGTTTCTATAGAATTCTGACCACACACCGGACAACAGCTGAGCTGCAAAAGACAGTTGTTGTCCATATTCGAAGTGATCCACTTTGCATAAAATTTTTTGACAATGGATTCAATAGATTATATGCAGGATCAGTGACCAGTGGTCCCTGACCATAATTTTATTAAAAATGAATCAATATAAAAAGGGATCCATGAAAGCTAAAATATCATTCTCAACATGAATTTTCAAATTCTTCTCATCCTTTCACTCGTTGGATTCGGAGCAGCTGGCCTAGTAGGATTCTGAAAAAAAATCTTTAAAAAATGAACAAATTCATTTTCAGCTTCCAGACGCAATTACTGGGTTATTCGGAGGCAAAGTACAGTTATAATCTGGAATAAAAATTAAGTTTTCTGTTTTTCAGAACAATTCGCTCGACGGGCTTGACTCGGAATTGAAGGCCGAACTTGAAGGAAAATATAGTAAGAAGAAAATTTAAAGATTTTGTTGGAATTCAAGGAATGTTATACTAAATCGAACGATTTTCAGAAAAACTTGGAGAATGGGTGAAAGAGAAAATCGAGCAAGGTGAGATTTTGTTGACTTCCCCGCAAGTATTGTATTTTTCAGGACTTGAACCTGGAAAAGACAAACTTTCGAATGTCAAAGTGATTGCTAGAGAAATTGTTGATCACGGTGTGGACGAATCCAAAGATGTAGCAACAGAAGCATCCGACTTCCTTCGTCCATACAAAGCGGATTTGGGAGTTTTGTATGGCGAAGTTAGGGCAACCCTTGAAGAAGTACTCAAAATCAATTAAATTTTCCTTGTTCTTGAAATTGGTGTAATTAACTTTGTTGTAATATAAAAGCTCTTCAGAATTTTTTCTAAAATGTCTCTTTTGACTTTGAGTCAATGTATCTTGGTTGTTTTACAATAGATCTCAACGCTTTTAAGTACTAAAATTTTTGCCTTGAGTCAGCAACATTTCTTTAGTTGACAATTTTTTGATAACTCAAAGAGGAAACGAGATAACTAGGACAAACGGAAGATCTTTAAAGGAGAAAAATAGCGTTTGAGAAAAAAATGAAGAAAAAACGTCTTGAATTATAGAAAAAAAAACTACGTGGATTGATTTTGAAACCTATGACCCTCGATGGCCCATTGACCTCAGGAAGGTTACTATAAAGGAAGAGGGAAATGGAGAGAAGAATCAGTTCTCCCTTCTCTGAGACCCAGAGAGGGGAGCCGGAGAAGGGATCCGGGTCCTGGATCCTGGGTCATAACCCAGGTCTCTATTTCTGGGTCATGACCTAGATTTCAATTTTGGGTCGTGATCCAGTTTTCTATTTTCGGGTCATGACTTAGATTTCTATTTTCGGGTCATGACCTAGATTTCTATTTTTGGGTCATGACCTAGATTTCAATTTTGGGTCATGTCCAAGTTCTCAGTTTTTGGGTCATATCCAAGTTTTCAGTTTTTGGGTCATGTCCTAGATTTCAATTTTTTTGGTCATGACCTAGATTTCTATTTTCGGGTCATGACCTAGATTTCAATTTTGGGTCATATCCAAGTTTTAATTTTTTGGGTCATGACCTAGATTTCTATTTTCGGATCATGACCTAGATTTCTATTTTTGGGTCATGACCTAGATTTCAATTTTGGGTCATGACTTAGGTTTCAAATTTTGGGCCATGAACCTGATTTTTATTTCTGGGTAATGCCCTAGATTTCCATAAAATGAAGAAGATGTTCTGAAATTCCAGAACTCCCAATAGTAGAGGTTTTTCCGGATTGCTGAAATTCCGATTTTCAAAATTTCGAAAATATAGCATTGACAGACATTCTCAGCATCAACCGTTAATAGCAAAATATTCCGGAAAATCGTACAAATCTGTTTAAGGAACCCGTGAAGCTCCAGAATTTCTATTGATGCGGTCGTTGGCGTGGGATCAAAATAATAACAAAAACGATCATAATAATTCTCAGCAGCTTCTGAAAGAATTCAAAAAGGATCCAAAAACACAAAAAAATATTCGGATGCTTTTTTGTTGCATTCCTAAGACGCCCTGTGCATTTTATTGTCATTTTTATTTTTGAAAATTGCTGAATTTATTTTTTTTCTTGTAAAAAAATCTGGAAAAAAATAATTAAATTCAATCTGATAGTCATTTTGAAAATAAGAGGAACTCCCCAGAGACTTTTGATGAGAGCAAATGATTTTATTTTGCTTTTCAGAGTTATAAAATTTACTAGAACTTCAGTTATTCTAAGTTTTTACAGATTTTCGGCAAAACTCAATTTTCACAGTCGAATTCAAAGTTTCCAAATGTTTAGAATTTCTGAATTTCTGTGTTTTTCGAATATTTAAACTTTAAAGATTCCTAAGATTCTTGGAATTCATGACTTTTTGGTTTTTCAAATCTCTGAATTGCTTCTGTTCTCGCAAAAGTTCTCGTTGTTTCATTGCTCATTTTTAAGGATTACTGTAGCTGCTAGTACTAACAGACTCAATTAAACTCACTTAAAATCTTTTAAATGATTTTGAAATCATTTTCCAGGAAGCTTAACTAAAAAAAAGGTTGATCTTTTAACGTTTAAAGAACATAATCCTCTCTTTTTTCCCCTTTTTTCTTCCAGAATTTTCTAGAATTTTCTAGAAATTTCTTCAGTTAATTGCTGACTAATCCAGTTTCTTGTAACTCATTTTCTCGTATTTTCCATGATTTTGCTACTTTTCTTTGTTTTTACAGGTGGAATTTCGATTTTTGACTCAGAACGGTTCCAGTAAAAACGAGAAACGAAAAATATTTGAAAATTAAGAAAACAAATGTGACGATGACTTTTATTTCTGATTTTTGTTGCCAATTTTTTAGGAAAAAATTAGTTTTTTTTCATATTTTTGGTAATTTTTAAAATTTTGAAGTTTTCTGATTTTTAGGATTTTTTAAATTTTCTGAAATTCAAAAATGTTTAAGTTTCTGAATTTCTAAGTTTCTGAATTTCTAAGTTTCTGAATTTCTGAATTTCTGAATTTCTGAATTTCTGAATTTCTGAATTTCTGAATTTCTGAATTTCTGAATTTCTGAATTTCTGAATTTCTGAATTTCTGAATTTCTGAATTTCTAAGTTTCTGAATTTCTAAGTTTCTGAATTTCTGAATTTCTGAATTTCTGAATTTCTGAATTTCTGAATTTCTGAATTTCTGAATTTCTGAATTTCTGAATTTCTGAATTTCTGAATTTCTGAATTTCTGAATTTCTGAATTTCTGAATTTCTGAATTTCTGAATTTCTGAATTTCTGAATTTCTGAATTTCTGAATTTCTGAATTTCTGAATTTCTGAATTTCTAAATTTCTGAATTTCTAAATTTCTGAATTTCTAAATTTCTGAATTTCTAAATTTCTGAATTTCTGAATTTCTGAATTTCTGAATATCTGAATTTCTGAGATTCTAAGCTTTCTAGATTCTAAGATTCCTAGATTCTTGGATTCTTGGACTAATCCAGTTTCTTGTAACTCATTTTCTCGTATTTTCCATGATTTTGCTACTTTTCTTTGTTTTTACAGGTGGAATTTCGATTTTTGACTCAGAACGGTTCCAGTAAAAACGAGAAACGAAAAATATTTGAAAATTAAGAAAACAAATGTGACGATGACTTTTATTGACTTTTACAAATGACTTTTACAAATGTCTGAATTTCTGAATTTCTGAATTTCAGAACAAAACAAATGTTTATAAAATTCTCCTTTATTAAAAAATTCAAAACACCAATTCCAAGATTTTCCTAACGTTCTCCAGGGGTCACAATCGCTCCATACGGCTTATCATCCTCTTTTGGAATCACAGCTAGCAACGGTGAAAACGCAATGTCCTGCATTTCACTATCTACTTCTTCTACCGTATCCTAAATGTAGTTTGTAGTCTCTTTTGTAGTTTGTAGTTTGTAGTTCACCTGACAATTCGCATCATCCCCATTCTCTCCCGGTGCCATTTGTCCATTCATCAGAGCTTTCATATCGGCATGAGACATTAATTTGGTGAGTTGAGCATTCTCCAAAAATTCCGTTTTATCGTTATTGATTGACAACTCCTCCCGATCGATTTGGCCATACTTGTAGGCTCTTGTCTTTTTACGATTAGCTCCAGAAAGTGCAGCAGGGCTGGAAAATGTAAAATTCGGATTTTCAGATTTTAAATGTATCCATTTTTTGCCGAGTTACAGCCGTTTTAAGTTGGTGGCCAAGAACCAAAACAAGCTTAGTCTGGATTACGAAGGATGAGGGAAAATAGGTCAAATTTCACCTTAATGAGTTTCTACTACAGTAAGGAAAGATTACAATTTTCAGATTTGAAAAATCTAAATTTTGAGCTGAGTTACAACCATTTAAAGTTGGTGGCCTAGAATTCCACAATTCTAGGCTATTGGTCACAAAACGTCATATCTCGGTTTAGAATAGACATTTTTGGGTTTTGAAAACGGCCTAATGTCTTGGTTTTCTAGGCCAGCAAATTTAGATTTTTGGACAGGCAAAAATTTTTTTTTTACTTTTTTAGTGGAAAATAATCAATTTTGGTGTTCTACAAAAGTATTTCAAAAATTTTAGATTTGCCTGAAATTTTCAGATTTTAATAATCAAGACAAGAGCTTTATTTTGGTAGTTGACAATTTTTTTGTAAAATTTCAACCAAGTGAGATAAGCTAATTTAAAGTGGTCAAGCTCTTATTTTTGGGAAATTTGACCGTTTTTTGATTTAAAACAGCATATCTCATCAGAATGGAATTCGCCAAAAAAGTTATCAATTAAAAAATTGAAGCTCATGTTTTGTTTAGTATAATCTGAAATTTTCCGACAAAGTGAAAAATTCTGGACCGCTTTTGTAGGACACCAAAATTGATTATTTGCCAGAAAAAAAAAGTCAAAATATGAAGTTTTCCAGAGTACTGTAACTCGGCTCGAAATTTACATTTAAAAAATTTTTGAATTGTTAGAGAATTAGTAAAACCTAACTAACTTTGCACAATTCGGTCTGAAAATGCTGGGTCTCTTTGGAGGATCCTTATGAACTTCTGGTTTCTGCACTTCCACTTTTTTCTCCTCTTCTACCGGTGGCACCTCTTCTTTTTCCGATTTCTGTGGTTCTGGTTCTTCTGGCTTCTCGGGAATCTTCTCCTCCACTTTTACTGGCGTCTTCTTCTTTGCGAAGTTGGGCATTTTAAATTTTTTCCCGGGTTTTTTGCCATTTTTCGAACCCTTTGTGTTCTTTCCATCATCCGATCCTCCCGATTTTGAATCTTTTGGTGCATTTTTGACAGCTCTTTTTGTGATACACATTGTCTCTCGTTGATACCGATTTTTTGGATTTCAAAAATCTTTCTTTTTAGAGATGAAGCAGACTTTTGAATACCTACTTTGAAAACTGACTACGATTGTTTGCTGGTTTTCAGAGAAAAGCTGAAAATACGTGGAAGAAAAATTTAGAACGTTTTTTTGAATTTTTGACGTTGGACCTAGAAAAAATCGCTAACTTTGATGATAATTGATTTCAGAAATTCAGAAATTCTGAATTTCTTAAAATTTGATATTCAGCGATTTTGGGACTTTCTGGGATTTTAAGATTCGGATATTTTGAAATTCAGGAGTTCTGAGATTCTGAGATTCAGAAATTCAGAAATTCAGAAAATCAGAAATTCAGAAATTCAGAAAATCAGAAATTCAGAAATTCAGAAATGCAGAAATTCAGAAATTCAGAAACTCAGAAATTCAGAAATTCAGAAATTCAGAAATTCAGAAATTCAGAAATTCAGAAATTCAGAAATTCAGAAATTCAGAAATTCAGAAATTCAGAAATTCAGAAATTCAGAAATTCAGAAATTCAGAAATTCAGAAATTCAGAAATTCAGAAATTCAGAAATTCAGAAATTCAGAAATTCAGAAATTCAGAAATTCAGAAATTCAGAAATTCAGAAATTCAGAAATTCAGAAATTCAGAAATTCAGAAATTCAGAAATTTAGAAATTCAGAAATTCAGAAATTCAGAAATTCAGAAATTCAGAGATTCGGAAATTCAGAAAGTCAGACAGAGATTCTTAGATTCTTAGATTCTTAGATTCTTAGATTCTTAGATTCTTAGATTCTTAGATTCTTAGATTCTTAGATTCTTAGATTCTTAGATTCTTAGATTCTTAGATTCTTAGATTCTTAGATTCTTAGATTCTTAGATTCTTAGATTCTTAGATTCTTAGATTCTTAGATTCTTAGATTCTTAGATTCTTAGATTCTTAGATTCTTAGATTCTTAGATTCTTAGATTCTTAGATTCTTAGATTCTTAGATTCTTAGATTCTTAGATTCTTAGATTCTTAGATTCTTAGATTCTTAGATTCTTAGATTCTTAGATTCAGAGAATCTTAGATTCAGAGAATCTTAGATTCTTAGATTCTTAGATTCAGAGAATCTTAGATTCAGAGAATCTGAGATTCTTAGATTCTTAGATTCAGAGAATCTTAGATTCAGAGAATCTGAGATTCTGAATGATTCTGAAATTCTGAAGTTTTGAGTTTCTAAGATTCTGGGATTCTGAGATTCTTAAATTTTGGATTTTGTGAATTTTGGATTCTGAAATTTCGAAATTCTGATATTCTGAATTTCAGGATTTCGAAGGTCAGAGCAAAAACTCTGAAAGTTTTCAAGAAATCCACGGAAGTTCGAAAACTTCTATTTTATGGAGTTTCGATAAATTTTGAAAACTAAAAAATGCGAAATTTCAAAAAATAAGATTCGATGATTCTAAGGTTTTAGCATTTTAGCTTATTTTATTACCAGTCGGTTTACGCCTCCTGTCGGGGGCTCAACCTCCTGGCTTCCGCTTTCTGTATCTTACAATTTAATTTCTAATTAAAAAATTTTCGATTTTCCGAATTCAAATTTCCAAACTACTGAAAAAAAGATTTTTTATGTTCTGAACTCCGGAGTATGTGAACTCCTGAAGTTGCAAATTTTTTAATTTCCTGAAGTTGCAAATTTTGGATAACTAATGTCAGGTTTACTAAACTTTCTGTTCTCCGAAAATTCTGAATTTCGAAATTTTCGAATTTTGAAAAACAGTCGGTTTGTGCCCCTCCGGGCTGAGCCTCCTGGCTCCCGCTTACAGTACCCGTTGTCTTATAGACAGGTTTTGTCATTTTTCCAGGGACTATTTTTTCATGGTCTGTTAGGAAATTTCGAAATTCGATATTTTGGTTATTCAGAATTCCTAGAATTCGGAAAGTCGGAAGTAAGAAAAAATACGGAAATTGAAAAATAAGACACTCGCAAGTTCAGAGATTAGTAAATTTTAGAAAATCAGATGTAGGAAAACATTAATTTTGAAATCTAGAAAAGTGTTTCAATCTGTATGTCTCAAATACCCAAATTTTGGTATATCAAATTTTAAGGAAGCGGCAAATTCAGATTTTTGCATACTTACTAAAGGGGCTGGCCTGAAACGGCCCTGTTCGCAAAATTTATAGAATTTCGAAAAAGTTTAGAATCGAGAATTTGAGAACCTGAAAAATTAGAATTCAGAAATTCAACTTTTCGAAACACAGTCTCGTCGAAAAGTTTTTGGAACTTCGGAAAATCGGAATTGTAGATTTCAGAATTCGAAAACTCTAAATTTCGAAAATTTAGACATTCCGAAAATTGAAAACCTGAAATGTTGGAAAATCTTAATCTTTGAAATTTTTTGGCATATTCGGTGAATAAGATCTCAGAAATTTATATATTCCAAAATTTGAAAGATATGAAATTTAATTCGGAAATTTTAAAAATTATTCTGAATTCTGAAAAATCGATTGATCAGAAAGGGCGCTGTCATTTTCCCTCCCATTCTGTTTCTTTCTTTTTTTTTCCTTTTATTTTCTTTCCTTTCCACTGTTTCAGAATTTTTTCTTCCTTTCAAATCTTTAAAATCCATACTAAAAGAATATTTCCACAAAATCCTTTCTCTCAGAAATAGTGTGGATAAGAAAAAAATTTGGGCGGTTAGACGGAAAAGAAGTGAATATTTCTTCAATATTTTTCTAAAAATTTCCATTGTAGAAATAGAAGAACGTCTCCAGAAGACGTCAGACACAAAATTTCGATGGAAAATACTGGAAATCCAAATTTCAAAAGAATCGAAATTTAATAAAATTGAAAATTTCGACATCCAATAATCCAAAATTTCCGGAATCTGCGGGTTCAAAAACATCTTCCGATATCCATTATTTTCCCTTTTCGTCCTCTCAAAATATTTTCCATTTTCTCAGAAAATCTAACATGTTTCGTGTTTTGTTTTATCCCAAAAATATTTCTCCCATGTATCTAAAAATGTTTGGAACTCTAGAAGACGTGACGAATTTCAGAATTCAAGGATTCTGATTCTGAAGATGACGAATTGTTTACTGCAAAAATACGCCCACTGAAAATGTTTTATCTTTTTAAAAAAATCTAAATTTTAAATGACTTTTTTTCATTATGTGGGTACTAGACTATACTAGATTTTCGCTTCATTATGTGTTTTGAATTCTACAGATTTTAAATTTAAAAATTCAGAATTCTAGATATTCAGAATTAAAGGATATCAGAATTTGAAAAATTCGAATTTTCAATTTTATTAAATTTCGATTCTTTTGAAATTTCGATTTCCAGTATTTTCCATGACGTCTTCAAAATTGAAATAATCTGGCCCACCTTTTTTCCGAATCGAACAATCTGAGTACCTCTTGCTAAACTCGGTGACGCGAAATCTTCCAAAAAATCCGTAGATCAGAAGGAAAAAAATCCCGCCTAGTCTAGTCAGATTTACCAAAATTTTGCTCTGACCCAGAGCATTTTTGAATGTGTCATCCGAATGTTTTTTTCTGATTTTTGGGATATCCATTTCTTTAATTCTATTGACGACATTCATTTAAATATTTGGTCATTCTATTTTTTTCTAGTTCGTTCAATCTGTGATTCTTGACATTTTATTGTATCTTCTTACTATTAAATCATATAACACTATTTTTTGGATTTCATTCATTTATTTCATAACAAAGTTCACTTTTTGCTTTAGTTTTTTATAAAAATAATTTTCGAATTTCTCGTGCCTAGAACGGTGTTCCAAAATCTCCAGTATATACAGTTTGAGCAGAGTTACAACCATTTCAAGTTGGTCACCTAAAAAATCAAAAGATAGGTCAGTTCAGTTCTTTAACTAATTTATGTTGTTAAATTTATGTTGTTTTAAAGATGAAGCCCCAATTTTCAGATCTGAAAAATCTTCATTTTAAGCCCATTTACAACCGCTTGAAATTGGTGGCCTAGGATTCCACAATTAGGCAGTTGGTTACAAAACGTCATATCTTGGTTTAGAAAAGATCCCTAGTTTCTAGGTTTTTTAAGCCATAGAATTAGAAATTCGGAAATTTCGAAATTTAGAAATTTCTGAAATCATCAGTTTTGATTTAACAAAAAATCACATAAAAACTGTTTTTAAAAGTTTTTCAGAATTTTTGAAATAATTTTTTCTTACAAAATTTTTTTTTATTATTTATCCCTCATTATCATGGGTTATTTCAAAAAAAAACCAATCTCAAAATAGAAAAGAAAAATTAGAAATCCGGAAATACCCGGAAATATTACGAAAACAAGCATTTTTCCGAGGGCGGATGATCTATTTACAAGATGCGTAAAATAGGATAAAGATTATGTTTTCTTACTTTTTGCAGATTTTTTTTCTATTTTCCAAGATCGAACTTTTTCTTCTCTGTGACGAAATTTCAACAAAGAAAAAAGTAAATCTGAGATTATCATGGAAGATATTTTAGGCCAGATTCCCCTATTTTTATGACATCTTGCAAGGATTTTCTGGCTATATTTTTAATTTCGAACAAATGTTTTTGGTCATAAAATTGCAATTTTTGAATCAATTTTTCTCGGCTCCTGTAAGAGATATCAAACAGTTGTCAACTGATAAAATATTACTGATTTTATGATAAACAATTAATCAGTTACCTCTATCTGATATCTCTCACAGTAACCGAAATAAATTGAGTCAAAGTTAAGGGGGGGGGGGGGGGGGGTTTGTAATACCTGTTTTTAAAAAGAGCCCTTACTTTAATCCAATTTATCTCGGCTTCTACAAAAGATATGAAAAATTGATCTACTGATAAAATGTTACTGATTTTATGATAAATAATCTATTAGTTGAAAACTTTTTGATATCTTTCAAAGGAGCAGAAATAAATTGAGTCAAAGTTGAGACTGTAAGGGCTACTAACCTGCGATAAAAGAGTTCCCTTTTTGACCAAATTTATCTCGGTCACTGTG